ATTACTCGCTGGTTGGAACCATTTGGGGTCTCGCACACCACGTTGACCTTCTTGGATCAAGAAACAGAGGCCCATTGCAGTTCTGGTAGACAAATTGAACAAACTAGCTCTCATATTGAGAGAAAGCGCGGAAAGGTGCAAGTGCCGGCAAGGACAACCTCCCTACCAGGGCCGGCCTACCGGGCGGAAGAAAATGACTCGGCGCAAAGAAATGCGGTCAGCATCTCCAGCAAACCTGGGCCCGCGCTCGCCCAGCTCACAATGCAGGCAAGCAAGGCATGCAGACCTGAAACTGTCCACTCAGAGAGTCACAGACTGTGGGGTGCCTCTCAACCATCGCATCACCTCAATGGCACATCACATCGAAGCCCCTGGCAGCGCCTGAAAATCCTACCCTTTTCCTCGTGGAGGATGTGTGAGCCACAATGCCAAGCTCAGCTGCACTTGGAAGCCAACATGACCCTCCAAGGACCTGAATTCACCTGCCAACCGTTGAAGTCTAAGACGACCTTTTCAAGTCCAAGACTTGTGAACACAACACGAGAATCGGGGCCAATGAATGTTTGGCGTGTGACGCGCCGTGTTGACAACATCTTGCACCAGTCAGTGGAATGTTCCAGTATAAATCATCCTAACTGGGGGATTTTATCCATCCACAGCAGCAAGGGCTTTCCGGTAAGCTTTCAGCTTGGCACCGCAACCTGCACAACCCGAGTAAGAAAATAGCACCACTGCACTACTGCACTGCCTCTCTGTCGGCCAGCTACCAGAATTCATAATGTCTCGTGGAACCATGGGGGTGGTGTAACTTTTTCAGCGGAGATCTTCCTTTTGTGCTTTGAGGCAGGGCTTGTAGCCCAACAAGTTATATATAAGGCAGACCGATCTGGGAAACCCATCAAGTGGCAGCGTTGCAGCCCGCAGCCGGGTTGCTTAGTTCCATTCATCCAGCTTGGTACCGCAGTAGTTCGCCATGAGCTTTTCAAAGCTCCAGAAGGGATGCTGCATGCTCTCCTCCAAAACTCAAATCTTTACAAGTGTTGTGGCGGCATGAGGGTCCATGTTTTGCACTCTGTTCCAAGTAGAGCAATGCAGTATTGTTGAGCAGGAACTGGATCTGCATTTGTGGAACATCCCCCCCAGGGCGAAGTATTCGAGGGTTCCTGAATCAAAACCACAAAACATGAAGGCCACGCGCGGGGGAGGAACATGAAAAGACTGTGTTGGATCCTGCTGCACTCACTGTGGGCGTTCAAAGGGTCTCTGTTGTGCTGCCTGTCCTGGATGACCTTGCAGGGATGCCACGGCATGTCACGCCTGCGCTAGCCCCACACCCTGTCGTCCTGACAGAAAATGGCCACCACCTCGTCGTAGTAGACATCCTCCCTCCCGGAGTCGTGGCGCAGGCGCTGGAAGCCATTGTCAACCAACGTCTCGGGGACCTTGACAGGCGAATCAAAATGGCCACCTGCTGGCCTGGAAGACTACAGCAGCCACAACAGGCAACCGATACCAATATATCAATATATCTGACAATTTTCCTTCTGAAATCCCTTCCTGTCAGTTCTAGTGGTCGTACTAGTGTTGCTGTTTGTGCTACAGTCTGCAAACCCAAGTCTTCGCGCTTTCAACAGTCCGGCCCCTAGACTGATCGAGCCACCAGACGCGCCTTGGCCTGCTGCATGAGCCGCTGCCATGCCAGGAAGTTGACCTGACAGCTGCTCAAAACTGGTCACCCAGACGAATCGCACCCTGATCTTGACTGTGAGAAGCTCAACTGCCGCGCAGTGGCTTGTCTGGATTGCTGCTCTTGAGCCCACTGCTCCTCGGAACGCCGCCGGCTTGCGACCTAAACTCTCCTAAACTCCGAATAGAGTCAGCTGCTTAGCAAATACTTAGACTCCCGACGCCAGTGGACGGTGAAAGGTAACAGTGAAGATACTGACGCCGAGCAAAAGGCAACACGTCTCGCATGGGATTCTCTGTGGATTGGGATCGAATGCCGACAAACACCTCCCCGCAAGAGGGGTGCGTTCTGAAATGCACAAGCCGAATGATTCAACCAAACAAGAGGGGCCGTCCCACGTTGCTGTCCTCCGATACTCTGCAACGAAGCCAAACAAGGATGTGGGCACCAGTCCCGCCTCCCAGTGCCAATCGCTTGGCGGCCAAGCAGCTATGCGGTCAACCCGATCCGCAAAGGGTGCCATCAGCATGACGTCCAGGACCTCTCCCTGAGGTTCGAAGTGCGACAATGAATCCCTCCGCACTTCAACTCCAAGTGGCCCAAAGCAAACCTGGAAACGAAGCCTCGCACAGCCTCACGCCTCTATTCATCCGAGAAAAACACAACCAGCTTCTTTTGAGTGACCTCTTTTTCTTGCATGGTTTCGACTCACTTTTCGGGGAAAAGGTCGCTTAGCTGAATTTCAACAGGTGGTCCCTGGCTACCTTGAGGAGTGCACATTTGAGCCCAATCTATGTAAACTGGGCACAGTTGATGTGACACTCACATTGACTCACATTTGAAGAATAATGCGCACACCGCTGCCTGCACTTCGGTTGGCCATGTGTTTCTTTCCAAGCTCGCTTGAGAAAAAAACTTTGCGTGCCCCAGGGCAAAAGAGGCCAGCTTGAAAAGCCAAACAGAAGCCACTTGCGGCCCGTGACTCAGTTAAGTGTCCTCGTTTCATTTGTTGTCTAAGTGCCTGCCATTTGAGGTCAGTAAAAACACTGCTGGCTTACGGCATATACATATATATATATATGTAGTTATTTATTTATTTTTTTATTTTTTTACCTATTCATTTATTTATATCAGATTTATCAGCTCGATCACAAGCAATGCTTGTCCTCAGGGAGCTGTGTTGGTGACTCCAGTCCTGATAAATCCCCTTAGGACCGTGAATGTGCGGGCTAGCGGCTACCCCCTTGCCATGAGCGAACAACATTTAAATTTAAAAGAAGTTGGCACATGGAATCCGAGCACCACCGTCCACAGCGGTAGGCGAATAACGAAAACTTCAGCTAACCAAATTCAGGCAAAATGCCCAATCTTTGTTACATACAACGTCAAAGTGAAGTCCTCAAAGCCACCCTCTAAATGGTGCCTTTCGAGGAACATCAGGGAAATCCACCCTCACGTTCACTTAAGTACCCAATGTAAGTCTTCGCTCCTCGGTCCGGGAATGCTGTTCTGGGTGATTCGGGCCGACGGAGTCCCTGAACGCTCAGCCGCTCCCTGCCTGGCAGAACAGGGCCCAGCGTGTGTCGGCCTCGTGGGAGAAGGGCTCTAGCTCCGCCATGGTCGAAGCGAAGGCGTGCTGGAAACCCAAGACATGCCTAGCGGCAAGCCGCGGATGTCAAATATAACCTAGCAACTTCATACTCTTGTTGATTCATTTTTTGCCGGGTATGTTGTAAGAAGGTGCCGCTTTTGGTGCCCAGTTCATTGAAAAGTTCAAAGCCCGTTCGTCTCGGCTCGTACCCCTGGTGTGACATGGTATGCGCGCCCAGCCTGCGGCCTCATTCAGTCGAGTAAGCTGTCTGCGGGAGGTCTGTGCTTGCGACTCTGAATGAGAATGGAAGGTTGCTAGCTGAGCTGCTTTCCTTTGCTCACCCGTGCATTTCGCCAAGGCTAGGCTGACAGCTTAAAAGTCCCAGCCCCCCCCCCCAGGAGCACCTCATGGAGAATTTCTCATGGCGCCGCAGAATGCCCCGCACCGCCTCCCGAGCTGCATGACGCCTCCCGCAGTGCAGGTGCTCCTGAGTCAAAGCCGACAAGGGCAGCAAGGGCAACTGCCCAACTACCCCACTGCCCAACTGCCAAACAAGCAGTACGGCCATGGGAAAGTCCTTGCCAGCGGATGCCTAAACAAGTTCAACCAACGCTGACACCAAGGTGCCAGGGACCCTGACAAATGGGACCACAGCCCTTCTGTGGAAGCTGACGAAGTGACGAATCATGCATTCACTTCTGGTTTCCTTGCAAAGTGTTTAAGAAGTTTTGCATGGGCGATTTAGCACCCAAACATCTCAAATGAAATGGTTTCTACACAGCAGGTTCTTACAGACAACTGATTTGGCCCAGGTGTCCACAGACTGCAACAGCAAGGCGATGAAGTCTTCGATGTGCTTCGTCTCATCCTGGGGAATCCAAAGCCCACCAAAGGAACCCCTAGTTTAAGGGGCCTGCGCCACAAATCAATCCGACCTTCTTCATGGGGCCCTAAACGATTTCCCGCTTGCATCAAAAGTGCCTGTGTGTGTGGGGGCATCCTAGAACCCGGTTGTTAACACCACTTAGGGTCACCCAAGACATCCATCCTGCGAAGGGAGGACCAGAGCCTGCCCAAGACACACAGCACCGAAATGCTTAACGCCCTCTCTATTCATCTGCCCTATCATCCTTCAAGGGCCCCATTTCCTGTTGCATTTCCAAAAGGGGGCAACAAATCCAAACAGAAGTCCTCCCTCCCCAATTTGAATGCCTCGCAAAACCAAGCCGGCCAGTACGCAGGCTGTCGTGAAATGTGGACGAAGCTGCTTTTGCGGGTTTGCAGCAAATAAGGAAGGCACACAAAACACATTAACCTTGTGTGCTTGTGCGATTTGTGTGTGTGTGTGTGTGTGTCGAGTCCTTCGCTACGGGAGCAAAAAGGGTTGGCATGAAGGCCACGAGGCAGCACGGATACGGGCACGGCCACGGACCTCAAATTACAATGATTCATCCGTCCAATTGTACGATCGAAACTCTCAACTCAAGACGGACGCGATGCCTGCACAAAAGCATTGGGAAGCACCATGGACAACGAAGCGCGATAGGCGCGCCAAGGGAAGCAAAACGGGGGGAAACTGGAGTTCCCATAGTACCCGTGGTGCCTGGCCCGCACCCGTAGCCATAATGCCTCCAACTGTTCAGTTCTTTACTCCGCTTTTCCGCCCCTTCACTTCAGCCGGCCTGGCTACGGTTGGACTTGGAGTTGGCCAGGCATGGGCTGCAAGTCCAGCGCTGGAGGGCTGAATTCGAGGTTGAAGGTTGCAGACAAAGTCTTTTTATATACATCTGGGGGCTGGTGGAAACGACTGGAGAAGGTTCGCAAGGGTAAGAGGCGTTTGGACGGATAGAGCGCTGGAGGTGTGAGAGTTGGAGTGGCGGGATGGGGATTAGACAGTTGGAGGGTTGAAGGACTGGAGGTTGGAAGGGCGGGTTGGAGCCGGGTTGGAGGCACAGGAGGGGTGGGGGGGAAAGGTTGGAGGCAGGAGGGTTGGAGGTGTGCAGGGTTGGAGGCACGAGGGTTGGGGATGTGGAGGGATGGCAGCGCGGAGGGTTGAAAACGCGGAGGGCCAAGGCGCTGGAAGGGTTGAAACCTTTTCGGGTTCATCATGAATGGGGCTACACTTCGACAAAAGGTGCGCGCCTCTTGGTCAAAGTCCCAGCTGAGGCGAGTGGGCAACTGCTGCAGCTTCTCGCACAGGGCCGGCACGAAGTCCGGCTCCTGGGCCTCGACCACAGGCCCAGCCGGTGTGACTGCGGAAACGTCCGGGTAAAACGTATTCCACGGAACCAGTCTAGTGCCTACTTTCACCTGGTCGGACACCCTTCTGGGGTTTTGAAAGGAGCACAGGGGAAACCGAACATCTTGCGGCTTCGCCAGTTTCAAGCGGGTTATTCAGAATGAGGGGTGATGCCTAGGACGCTTTCTCGCAGGGCACCAGAACAAGGGAAACCACCAAGTACCATCTGGCAGGAATCAGGATTGACTTTGAACAACCCAGGTAAAACAACTGCTGCTTCCGGCAAGATAAGTAGGCTGACCTTGATGAAACGAGTGTGGCAGAGATGTGTTCGGTCTAGCTTGGTTTCAGCCAAATTTACCAAACCGACCTCTGCTGCTTCTGATGCGGCACAACGGGTTGAACTCCTTGATGAAGCTGGCTATGGGGTGCTCCGAAGCGGCCCCGTACCACGCTGCCGGAGGATGCGCCAACCTCTTCTCATCCAGCTGGGTTTACTCGCTTGCTGGTTCTCGCTCGCGAGCGCTTCTTGCCCGTCTCCCTTTGGCCTCTGTACCCGATGCGTACACCTTGCGGTCCCGTCCCCTTGGGGGAGGATGACATCGACTCCCGATGCGCCCGGAGGGCCTTGGCTCCAAAAGGCCAGGGAAGGAGGTCTTTCGCCATCTCCGGCACCACTGTCTCAGCTGGGAGAAGGCTCAGCAAAAAAGAGGCCACATGAGTATGTCAAGTTGCCGAGAGCCTCAGAGCCTCATGCAACAAGGCGGAGAGAGCCCGCAGCACAACAGGATCGCAGCAGACCATGCCAGGCAAGGCCACGCGACAGCGACCAGACACCATCAAAACACCAAAAGCGACCAAGACCACAGCAGACAGCGCACGCCAGCAGAAGCCGAAAAGCGGTGCGGCCGGAGCCGTTGGTGGGCCCCCCCATGCGCCAAAGAGGAATCGCAGGGCCCAAGGACTTTGGGCCAGAGAAGCTAAGAAAGGAACCTCTTCGGGCTTGATCAGTTTCAGTCGAAACCAGCCAAGAAAAGCCAACACAGGCGCAATCCAGCGAACAACCAACACGATCTCAGACCAGAGTGGTTGGCTTTCTTTTGGATTCCCCTTACACAACCTGACAACTACAGCAACCAGGAGAAGCCATATGGGTATGAGGAACACTGTGGTGGACATCATTTAGGTGGGGGTTCGTGTCCACTAACCACTTTTGAGGTAATTCCCCATGCAAAAAACATAGCTATGTAAAGAAAACCACCTAGATGTCAAAACACGATGGACTGACGGAGAGTTTCTTGGACACCCGGCGCGAAGGAGGAAGCTTTTGGCGCTGCTGAGCACCTGGGCCTTTCGGTAGGCCGGAAGCTCCGCGAAGAGTCCCTTCAGGAAGGGCCTGGCCTGGGTGTTCAAAGTCTAAAGTGACTGGTGTTTTCCCCTGCGACTAGTAAGTTGCGTCCTTTTGGTTTCCAAAAGTGCGGTTTCTTTTTGGTTTCCAAAATTGTGGTTTCTTTTTGGTTTCCAAAATTGTGGTTTCCTTTTGGTTGTTTTCTCAAAATGGTGGTTTCCCCTCTTGTCCCTGACCTACCAACAAAAGGGGTCCATGGTTTTGAGAAACACTCGCCTGATTCTCTATGGATGCAGGTGGAACCATCATGGGGCAACCCGTTGTCTTTGCTTAATCAAACTTTGCCCAAGACCCCGCTCAAAACGTCCTCTCCCTTGTTTGACTTGCCTTGGTTGACACATGCTCCCTAGGCTCTGGTTGCTGAAATAATGTTTTGCCCAACCCTAAGGCACAACCAAAAAAGAGCAAGGGACCGAGAAGGCCTTCCCCCCCCGTGCATGGACACCTAGAGTTTATTTTGCAACCATACTATACCCTAAAAAACCAATACCCTAAAAGAAGGAGGTTGCAAGATCGACACTAAATGTCCACCATACGCCTCCCCCCCCCCCCCAACATGTGCAGTTTTGCCAGGGAAGCCACCCCAAAACCAGAAAGACCCGGTGCGAACCGCCAGGTGGCCAGGAAGAAGCGGAAGACCAGGGACCAGGCCAACTCCTGAGTCGACGCGGATGTGGAGACCACCTTCCGATCAGCCCGTGAACAAACTTGCATGTGTTCCTAGTGCCCTTTGGTGGACATGAATTGCATGAGGATTCTGGATAGTAAGAGAGGCAAGGTTTGGAAGAACAGAAGCCTCACTAAACGGATTGTCAGGGTCAATGTTCGGGCTTCGATAAGTCTAAGCCGATGTTTCAATAAATTCGACACCTGCTATTCAGATTCCTTACTCGGAAATTGCAAATTTGACTGAGTTTTGGGTCCGGAAAGGGTGGACCGACAAGGACCGCAGCGGAAAAAATCGACCCCTAAATACCCTCTTAACACATATTGTTCCGGCCCCAGCAAATTTGTTATTTGTCTCTTTTCTGTTGGCCGGGGTGGGATTCATTCTTCTGGGGAAGCGATTAAAGGGGCTGTTTCCTTTGCTTGTCCCCCCTGTGTCCAAGCCTTGCCTTGCTTAGATTCTGTTTTCGGGCGGAAGTGAGGCGGCCTCCGCAACCCTCAAGAGCAAAACCTGACATCTTAACCCCTCCCAGTTTAAGTCCAGGGCGATGTCTAGAAATATGATAGTCCGGTTCTATCCTTCTGACGTTCCTGAGCACACACTCTCATGCATGACCAAACTATCCAAATGCTTGGCAGCATTGTCATATGCCAGTGCCCTTGTCAACAAAGTGAACAAACAAGGTGTGCCCAATTCGGACTCGTACATCCAATCGGCTAGGTTCCCGGAAGCAGGTATGCCCCTCTGCTTTACAAAGGCCACCGGTGACAGGTTGGCGTGCGATGCATGGATGCAGAACCCACATTGATGACATCGACACCAAGTATACAAACCTCGGACCCAGGCCCTCAGGAACCCGGAAAAAACAACCAAAGAACCGCGAGGGACACCGGTGCCAAGCATCCCCCTCACGCTCGTGGTCCGCGTTCTTGCCAGCCAAGGTCTCCAGCAAGCTGAGGTGGAAGGCGCAAAGGTGGCCGGCGCGGACGTTGTACATCTTGTGCCTCTCCCCCAGGTCGATCATGTACAGCTCAACCTTCCTCATACCAAAATGCGGGAGCTGAATTTCACAGAGCATCGGGTAGCTGTTGCTTTCAAGTGCTTTCAGATTGGAGGATGGGAAGGGCGCCTGAGAAAAGACCGACATTTCATCCACGGATTTTCTTTTTAACAAACTGGCGCCCAAGCACCACATTGTTCTGTGTCGTTTTGAGGTTCTAGTTTGGCCATCGTTTGGATTCACTGAAGGAAACACTTCAAGAGACACACGCATCAGCATGCAATCAAAATGGCAATGCCACAAACTTCGTGGGAAGTTCCCACCATGCGAAATCCTGACTCATAACGGGATGTAGGCCGCTCAGTCAAGGTGGCCGTGCCAAACCATAAGATATCCCCGCTTGAATGCAACTATGCATGCATTTGCTAGTGCATCTGCTTGTATTGTTGTGCCTTTTGAGCGGAAGGATGTCAAGGTGGACCTTGGGGTGCTGAATCCATTCACCGCCCGCTTCAGATCATGGAGCAGCATGCCACCCCGCATCCCCCTGACCGAAAACAGCAGCTTTCCCCAATCAATCAAAGCAAGGTCGCACCAAAGAGAAGCAATCTTGCTGGTTCTAGGGGAATGAGGGATGGCCCCTATGAACCATCCCTTGCGGGTTCTTTCAAGGGATCCCCTTCCGGTTCATTGCAACCCGCTTGATTTGACAAACAAAAGCGAGAACATGTTGGCGGGACCCCCTCTCTGGCTATTTCTCCGCCATGTATCTTCGCATCCTTCTCCTCGAGCGATCTTAAGGAGATTTGCATGATGGAGGCGAAGAGCAGAGCTTGTCGCCGAATGTTCAAGGATGCCCAAAATTTATCCATTCCTTCGAACTTCCTGCGAGAGAGCGTCGAAGAAGGGCATGTGTTGAGATCAAGCAGGCACAAGGGCTGGCTTGAATCAATATTATTATGCCACCGCTTCATCTGGGCGGAGTTGCAAATGGGGCCGTTGGACCTCGTGATCGGATCGTCATAGCCCATTCAACACCCATTGTGGCCGGACTCTGCTGATTCTAGCATTTTGGGTGTCGGGCCATTCCGGAAAAAAAAAAAATGGCAAAGTGGTTCGCGGGATGTCGTGCGCCGTTGATTTGACCAAAACGGTTGGAAGCACCTGCTGAGAACACGAATTGTGTCGCGGGTAGTTGAACCTTTGGGGTCAAGCCTTCCTCATTGCGACCTTCGTCACCCAGGCCCTCCGTCACCATTACCCATGTATCGCTCTCAATCCCTCCGGAGGAGCGCCTCAAGCAAGCATAGATCCTCACACCAAAGTCATCCAGGGCAAATCTGCGGAACTGGTTCACGACAAGGCCCAGCATGCTGTCCAGGGAGCGGTAGCCGGCAGCATTTTTCATGGAATCAGAACCTAGTCAGCGAGTGGGCGCGCATGCCGCATGCCCCATTCCTCGTGAACGTTGCGTGGTAAACATTTGTTGGAAGCTGTCGGGCATGGTTTCGCCTTTTGCTGGTAAGAACTTCCGCGAGAGTGGCAGCCGAAACTTCCAGCACAAGCGGGTGCAATTGCAACTAATACCAAAGGCCAAACCAGAAAATCAAGTGTAGCATGCCAGGACATACATTTGTTGCAGCAAGCATGGAAGCACATATCATACCATACTGTGGGAGTTGCAACGGCCGTGGAAGTGCACATCTGTTGTTCGACAATCATTGGAGCTGCCCGACGAGGCATCCAAAAACATAACAACGCAAATCCGGAACGTGTTTCAGTTGCATGAAAGAGCACGGCGCAGGCCTCTCCACTTCTTTCTTGTCCTATGCCGTCCTATGCTATGGCTGAAGCTGCGCTTGCTTCTACAATGCTTACCTTGCTCCAGAACTCTCAAACCTTGCAAGTGTTGGCATGCTTACAGCCATCAACCCGAGTAATTGAGCAGAGCCTGTTCATCACCGAGCCTTGTTCCATTGCGTCCCTCCTAAGCTCACGAACAGTATGTTGGATAAAGTAGGGCAAGCCTTGAGCAAACGGCTTCACGGACACAATTCCCACACGTTCAGAACCAATTGCTTGTGAATACGAACATGGGTCATAGGGCCTCGGATGCTTGGGCCGTGATGAATACACAATCCAAGGGCACAAACACAGGAGCCCCCAGAGCCTCGCAATTCGCCTGTAGATCGGGCGCTTGCAGCCCGGCCACAGTATTTAGTCAGAAGCGCCGCATGAGATGCGCCCGGCATGTCCATAAAAGTGTCCTGGCTCACAGGGGCTGGTCCAAGGAAGCGGCCCGACTGTTTTTGGAGCCTTGCTGACTTGACGGCGCAAAATCAGAGCAAAGCTTGTCGACTTTAATTTGGAAACATGAAACCTAACCCCTGAAAAACCTACAATGTTGCGTGCATCTGTGGCGAGACGGATGGTCCGGTCAAAACAGCCAAGCACCAGTCTAGCTTCCAACCAGGAGCCCACCTGAAACGTGCCCGCTCGTTATGATGTCACACAAGGCGTGATTTTGTTCAAGCGTGTTTCGACCTTTCACAAGACCACCGGCATGACCAGAACACTGGAGGCAGGTCCGGCTGCAACTCCAAACCGGTACCTCCCCTTCGGGAGCCAATCGGAATCAAGCAACCCTTGCGATGCCTTTGCAATCTAGCTTCAAAAGCAGGACCAGGCCCAATTCACTAAAGGAAGGCAAGACCCACCCTCAATCAAAGCTGCGCAATCTCCACACAATAAACCAAACAACAAAACGTTCGGGTCTCATTTGGCCCACATTCCAGCAGTCTGGCTTGCAAGCACATGCGCGAAAAGGTGGGTTGCATTACTCGAGCAAATCTGATAAATCTCAAGTGTTTGCTTGACATGCTTGCAATCCGTTGCTGCATGAACGCTTGAAGAGGTACGAGGCTCGAGGATTAGCTTCTTCAAACTATTGTTGCCAACATCAACCAGCCCAAATAACACGGCCGCTTGAAACCAACAAAGTCCTCAGAATGAATCAGGGGTCATGCCCCTCTTCAGGGCCCATTTGGCGCAGTCATAAGGAACATGCAACCTTCCATAGGTGAGTTATGGATTCTAAGCGCTGCAGTTCCAACCAAGCCCGTGCTAGTTCCATCCAATTCCTACCTTTTACCTCTCATCAAGTAAGTGAGTCAAGATTGAAGCTGCCGTTGTATGCCGCCCGAGTTTTCTCGGCGACACGGCTGACATGCGAATCTCAGCAGGCGGCAAGTTCGCACCCGGACAGCCACAAGGCCACAATCCGCATTGCCATCCAGCGGTGCCTTTCCCTCATTTCCGCCACATGCCTAGTGCCGATTGTGCCTTGCCATCCCGTGCTCTGCGGCTGGCCCCGATGCCCCGCCTTGAGAGCTGAGCGGAACTCTTCCAAGGAGACGCGCCCGGAGTGGTCCACGTCCATGGCATGGAAGCCCGCGGAGATGTGGCTCTGGGCAATGCCTGACCGGCAGACCCGCAGGCCGATTGCCCGGAGAGGCCGATTTGGCGCAATGTAGCGCAGGCCGACTGGCGGAGCGGATGCCCAATGTAAAAGCTACATTGCCAAGCCAGTACATACTGGCCACACCTCCACAAAGCGCCCTTATCCTGAAATCAGCCAGAGAAAGGCTGCCCTTCTGAATATAGCCTTCATCACAGGTGGGGCAACCCATGAAAGCTAACATATTCTGACGTGGGCACTACAAAATACTGCCCTCTGCGGGCTGCCTGGAACTACCCTGACAGTCCCCGCAACCACACCAGCTTGCCCATGTGTTTTGTTCTGGCTTCTCTTCACTGAAAAGGGGGGGTGCTGTGGAAGGGTCCCCCATTGAGCAGCATGACAGCAATCAGGGAAGCATCACATCAGAAAAAAAAAAAAAAAAAAACGAAGACACTTGTCATATCCAGGTGTTTCATCTTCATTCGCGCCTCTTTTTCGGCTACCACTCATCATAGAAGGGTTCGTCAGCCCAAAAAATCGAAGAAGGCGTCCAATAGGTCTCTTTAAAAAGGGCGCTGATATGTTCGTGATATCAAAGTGACCTGGGATATTCGAGGGCGCCTACCACATCTGACATATTGAAGGGATATGGATTGTTTCAGCAAAGCCGACTGCATGACACGTCTCACACAGTGATATCACCTTTCCTGAGTGCACTCGCACCGGATCAGCAACGCACCACGGCCTCAAAACATTGTGCAACTAAAAACAGCTGTAATGACAAGAAAAGTTCCCTCCATGCCACTCAAGAAAGCCAACATCCCCTTGCGCAAGCACAAGTGCCACTGAGGGGCCTTTCCCGGCATAACTACTGAATAAGAGGGGGCCGCCGGCTACAACTCGGTGGTTCTAGCTGGAAACTCTGTCACGGGCGTTCCAGGCCTAGCTCGGAACAAACCCCGCGGAAGTCTTCAAAGTGGAACTCGTCCTCTTCTGAGCCAGAGATTTTTAGGAAAGCGGCATCCAACTGGTCAGTATAGTACCTAAGCGCTGGCACCCTGTGTGAAGAGTCAGCGAGGGCGGGAGGGGGGGGGGGTTGAAAGGTTTGTGCACATGAGCCAAGGAAGCGCAACACTTGTCACAAACTGTACCAGGCAACCATCTCGCCGTGGAAACTTGACAAATCTGCAACCAGTTGCCCTTGCTTTTGGCCTTCCTTGGCACCACCAGAAACTCTGGAAACATCCAAATCAAAGATATGCACGGGCTCCGTGATCAACACCGTCAAGGGATGGGCCAGTGTTTTGCAAGCCTCAAAAACATTTCATAGGGCGCCTGCTCCAATTGCCTTGCCAACTTTGCAAGCTCGCCGGCACATTGCTTACAACAGGCTCTCCACGCACAGCCGGAGTCTGTTCCCATGCACGCTTCCACCTCCCACAGGCAAGGGTCACACATTTTCGCGCAATCCCAGGCACAAATCCTCATGCGCGATCACATACGCCCAAAGCAAGTGTCGTTTTAGATATTCGGGCCTCCTGGCATGCTGGGCAGGATGCCACAACAGAAAACCAATGGCGCCCAACAAAATACCCCATCATATTATCGGCAAAGGCGCTGGTAGTGGCAGCGTAGAAACATGAAGTCGTTTCCCTGCGCCATGCTGACACCAGCTTTGATCAAGAAAATCGCCATAGTGGCGTGCGCACTCGCGAAGTGGCTCCTGCCATGCCAGGCTCAAGTGAATATGCATGGTCCACCACCCGTCTTGAAAACCGCAACGTTACAGACCACAGTGCCTCGCGTCGAAAAGGCGACCCCAAGCGCGGCATCCGAAAGGTTGGTTTCATGATGGCTTCCTTTCAAAGTGAATCCATCAGGGCACAACAGCCTTGACATGCAAATGTATAGAGCACTCGCCGTTGAATAAGATGTGTCCCTGCAGCTACTGATGAAACGCAGCAAAACGCGGCAAAAACGATTACCCCACTGATGACCCAAGGTGGGCCGAGTTTCTAGGGCTTATCAACCATTCAATTTATCAAGCCAGAAGAAGCCCATCCAACCCAACACTAGCCCAACCAATCAACCAACCAAACAACCAACCAAGCAGGACTATACATCCATCCATCCAGCCAGCCATCCATCCAGGCAGCCAACCATCGTCCAACCCAACCCAACCAACGTCCAATCCAACCCAACCCAAAAGCAAAGCAACCAACTCCGCCCAATGCAAACCACCCAGTCATCACCCAATCTATCAAATCAACCAATCGCCACGCGCCATCATGTCACATCACATCGACCAACCCGATGCAACCAATGCAACCCATGCCACCACTGCAATCATTGCAACAAATGCAATCAGTGCAGCCAATCAATCATTCAATAAGTCAATCAATCAATCAATCAATCAATCAATCAATCAATCAATCAATCAATCAATCAATCAATCAATCAATCAATCAATCAATCAATCAATCAATCAATCCAATCCATCCATCCATCCATCCATCCATCCATCAATCAATCAATCAATCAATCAGTCAGTCAGTCAGTCAGTCAGTCGAACAATCAACCAACCCAGCAATCAATCAATCAATCAATCAATCAATCAATAAATAAATCAATCAATCAATCAATCAATCAATCAAGCAAGCAAATCACGCAATCAATCAATGAATCAAATAAACAAATCAATAAATAAATAAATCAATCAATCAATCAATCAATCAATCAATCAATCAATCAATCAACTCAATCAATCAACTCAATCAAATCAATCAAGAACATGCATTTCCCAGAAAGAACAAGCAAACGACAGAAGGAAAGAAAACAAGAAAGAAAGAAAGAAAGAAAGAAAGAAAGAAAACAGAAAGAAAGAAACACAGAAAGAAAGACATAAAGAAAGAAAAAGATACAGAGATACACAGATACGGAGATACAGA